CTGATCAAGGATAGGACAGTGTAGCAATATGGTTATGAGCCACAGTCCCAATCCAAAGCTTCCCATTAACCTCTCTAACCTCACTCATGAGCTTCATCACATCACCCTCTTTGTCCTCAAGTACATCAACTACCCTCCCTTCTTCATCAAATAGTGAGATCACAGTGTACATTCTCATCCCTGCCAATCTAGCCAGGTATTGCATTGGAACCGGCAACCTGAAGTACACACTTCTGGTCCATGGGTGGTTCACCAAAACCTCTTGTATTTTTGTTCTACAACAGTCTATGGCCACCCAGATTTGCCCTTTCCCATTCGCTCTAACGTTGTCTGGAAATCCTGGCAGGTTTGCAATCACCTTCGTCTTCCCGCTCTTCGGCCCTTCTAGCCAGAACTTCATCAGCCTGCATCAACCAGGGCATTAAGATTCGTAACTCAAAACTTTATACTACATATGTTGGTTTATATGTTCATATTTATTTAGTTTGAGATTTATTGTTAACAATGATTTAAATTCCTCTTGCAGTGCAACATGTTTTCACACTATTCCGTTTATAAAGATACACATTCACATATTAATAAAATTACTTTGATGAAGTTGACTTTTTCGAATGAAACTTCAAATCTGAATATGAAATCATACATTAATAAGCTCCTAAGTTTCATTACATTGGAAAATCTAAAGTAGAGACAATTTGATAATTAAAATTGTTCACCTTACTCCATTAGTATGATGAAGCTTTTGTGAGATATGTTAAAAAATAAATCTATGGGAGCTTGGCCCAAACGGAACAACATCATACGTATGTAGGAAACATGTGGAATTAAGGCGAAACTAGCGGTCTTAACTATGAGTGTTATATATACTAGTAGAATGTGGTACCTGCAATTGGTTGTTTCAGTGAAGAAAAGAGAAGACTGATCCTGAGATAATTGAACTCCATTTGGGAATGCCAAGTTTTCTAAAACAACATGAGTTTCTCTAGTGGGAGGATCATATCTGAGTAGCCTACCCGTGGCTTCTCCTTCCAACATTATCAAGAAATGGTTTCTGTACATTAAAAAAAGTTACACACAATTATAATCTCAATCACGCTTTCATCTAGACAGGCATGCATTCATTATAAAGATGGAGAAGAGATTCAACATGTACTTGGACTTACACTCGATTGTATCTCTGACTAGTGTCGGTGAAGAAAATGGAACCATTGTTATGAATGTCGAGGTCATTGGCGAAGAGTATAGGCTTCCCTTGGACATGAGTTGCCAATGGAGTTGCAATGCCTCCCTCAGGACCAACCACCAAGAGCCCATAGTATGCATCTGCTATGTACAAATCTCCTGTTTTCTTGTCAAACCTTAGACCCAAAGGCCGCCCACAATGTGACTCAAACTTCCACTGCTTTGGTGTTGTTGAATGCACTCCTTTCGCACAAATCTTCTCCGACCTGTCATAACAACACCAACATTGCTATGACTAGACAAATTGAGGTCCAAAGGGACGAATGATGTTGTTGAAGAATTTGTCTCACATCAGTTAAATATGAAATAACAAAATCGACCCTTCAGAATGGAAATACAACTAGGCAGCTTTAATCTGATAAGTACTTTCAGTTATAGACCCTTCATTGTAGTTTATGATCATTATACGTAAATTGATAGAAATTAGAATATAATCAAGAAACTTTTTTAACTTTCTATCTGTTAGACTATAATAAACTCATTCCCATTTTGATCATTAACTACCATTCTGTTGCACTTTTAGTACACAGCTATAAATTTAGGGAGATTTCCCAAAATAGGAGTAAATGGAGTTTGAAATTCCAAAAGAGAACTACTATGTTTTTATTCCCGAAATAGGACTAACATGACAATATTTACTGTCATCTTGTAGGCGTGACTGCCAAATAGTTGCAGTATAGTGAATTTAACATGACAATATTTATTATAATTAATGACATTATTTTTCAATCACGCCAGTAACAATTCCTATTTCGGAAAGAAAAACATAATAGTCCTATTTTGGAATTTCAAATCTTATTTAGTCCTATTTAGGGCAATTTCCCATCAATTTATTGTGCATTATGATCCTTTTTCATCAATTTTCGGGTAAAACACCACAAATAGTATCCAGATAAACGGAGCAAAAGTTACGAGATATTTATAGACATGACTAAAAAGAGTAAAATTTGTGGGACTAAATTAAAGGTGGTTTTTTAGATGTTTTATGACTAAAATACAGATAATGAATAAAAATGTGATTGTATACGATGTGACTATTTTAGTAACTTTTATCGACCACCATCAGTTTTAATTTTACACTATAGTGAGTAGTGACTGTGAAGTTATATCACAGTTTTATGCATAAATTTTATTTTACTAATAGTTTAGAAAAAAACAATTTTTAATGAAATAATAACAAAAATAAAAGATTCAATTTTTTAGCAACATAATAGAACCGCAAAAGAAGAGAAACTTAATGCTAACCAGTTATGAGTGACTAAAGCAAATGTTTCCCAGCCAATACCATCACCCATCCACCTAACGACCCGCCCATCGGCCAGCCCAGCATACGGCCCCCGGCCCAATGTATCAAACTCCAGGGATTCAGGCCCAAAAACTTCATCCACGAACTGCAAACGCCCAAGCCCAAGCCTGCTCTTGTTATCCCCACGCCAGTTCTCCATGACCTCCTTGTACGGCGCAATCTCATTCTTCACAGGCCTGAACTTGTTCCCTCCCACTGGACTTAACTCAAATGGATCTCCAATAATTATGCTCAGAAGTACTGGAAGAAGCATATACAACAGCTGCTGAAAAATCACTCTTTTGATCTTTTCCATGGTCTTAGCTTGACAGATTAAAGGGACAATTTGAGAAGCTGATAAGCAAAATGGTTGAAATGTGGTATTGTTGTGAGTGTAATATAAAAGGAGTGCATGAATGGATTGGGTCATAAATAGGTTGTCTACTTCTTACTTTCTGAGTCATGTGTTTGGCATTTTTTCACCAAGAGTATGATGAAAATCATTTTAAATTTCAACCACAAGTTCTTGTTCTTTTTGTTCAGTAGCAGTTCAATTTTAGGGTGAGTTTGCTACTTTGGTAGTTTGTTTCAAAGAAAGAGTGTTTAGCTTGGTATCAGATAGGGTGTTGTGCACGAAATTGTTTAGTGATAAACTGATAATGTGACTATGTGACATCATGATACTGCGTACTCACGGGCAGAGCAATATTTCTTGTACAAGGGGCAGGAGCTTAAAATATCTAGATCAATTTTGTTTGCACATGAATTGACTGAATCCACTGGGTGAAATGACTCAATCCGTTGAATTTTGAAAAAATTACATTTAAATTTTAAAATATATTTCATCATGAAAAATTTAGATCTCGTTTGATAACATTGAAATTGGTTGAATCGATTAATATGTTGAAATTAGAAACCGGTGAAATTGAGGTTGAAGTGGCTGAATCCGTTGAATTAATAAAGAATTATATACTGTATTTTATTAAGAAAATACAGAAAAAACTATGTAAAAAATAGCATCTACAGTAATTTGGTCTCAAAGGTAAAAATAATTATATATTTATGACTAAACTAAAGATTATTCACAAAATGTGACTAGTTGTTATAGTAATAAATTAATAATAGTTATTTATGTTTAAATTTTAAATTTAAGTGCCCAAGATACTATGTTGTACACTTGTATGTACTAGTAACTATTAGTTATATTTGTGTAAATAAGTTTTATTTTAATATTTTTTTAAAAACCCTAAATTATAAACTGCCAATATAGATGTTTATAATGGACATGGTACATTTTAGGAGGCCACGGCCCCTCGAGCTCTTCATCTCCGCCACATCTACTATCATCAAATTATTAAATAATCGAAAAAATAATACTCCATCAATTCTCTTTTGGGTGTCCCAAAATGAATATCTTGTTTTCTTTTGACAAAAAATATGTGTTTTTTGTTATTCCACTTTAATCAAATTTCAATAACAACTTTAAGTTTTCAATCATTTTATTAATAAACGTGTGAAATTAAAACAAGACAATCAATATGAGACCGAGGTGCTATAAATAAAGGGGTATTGAGTAACAAATTTAGTAAGCATATCAACGTGCTTCTTAAGGCACACCTCGAGTTAATGTGTTAAAAGTGTGAACTATTCTACCATGAATCATGATTAAGTGAACTATTTCACAGCATTCAGCACGTCAATGTAGGGCTGACAATTTAAACCGAAAATCGAAATGAAAAAACTGAACCGAGCAATAAAAAACCGAATTGAAACCGAACCGACTTGAACGAGATCAGGAAGTCAGGAACTGAACATGAATCGGTTTAAAGACGGGTTTTTGAATTTTAAAATCGGTTCAAACCGAACCCATCGAATTTTATTAAGTGATATCTAAATATTTATTCCGTAGCAAAAGTAGTAATAAATAGAATATAACTCCTAATTTTAACAACTAGTTCATGCTAATCAGTGGTTTAGCCTTGACATTTCCGTGATTCTCGCTTGCTACCAGTTCTTTTCATTTATTCCCCCACACCGATTGAAACGAAGGATTTACTCCTCATATGTTCCTATATATGCGCCCCTTCGATAAAGAGTTGTAATAGGCGTTCGAGGATGCTTCAAAGCTATGCCTTGATCCAATTTTTCAAAATTCATTCGGTTTTTGATCAAAACCGAAATCCGAGCCGAGATTTTGGTTTCTGAAAATTTGGGTTTCAGTAATGTTCGTTTCGATTGTGGTTTATGGAATTTGAGAAGCCGAAAAATTCGGTTAGATTCGAAACTTTCCCGTTTCGGTTCGGGATCCGAGCTGAATCCACCCCTACGACAATGTGTTTCTTAGTGAGTTGACGTGTTACATGCATTTTCCATGGCGAGGGTCTACAATAAAGGTGAATGTATTAGAATGGGGGGGTGAATTTCTGTATCTGTGGGATGAAGAATGCGGAAGCAGTAATCGAGAGCAGAGAGGATGAAGAAGATCAAAAAATGAATTGAAAATATCCAGATTAGAGTTTTACAATTGTATTTATACTAAAGTGCTAAAAACTATTCTAATAGAAGATATAAGATGGGCTAATATACAAAGGCCCAATAAACAATAAAAAGATCCAGTTTAATATTCTTTAGATGTCCCCTCAAGATGAGCATGGATGTCCAACAGGTTCATCTTGTCTACAAATTGATTGAAGAGTAGATTCCCAAGTGGCTTTGTGTATATATCTGCAAGTTGACAACTATTAGGAATGTGTTTAAGAGTAATAAGTCCTGAATTAATTTTTTCTCTAACTAAATGGCAATCTAATTCAATATAGTTAGTTCTTTGATCGATGTGGTATAGGATTATGAGCAAGATAATAAGTAGACTTATTATCTGTATAAAGAGTAATAGGTAAAGTTATGGGAATTTTTAAATCCTGAAAAATATAAGTAAGCCATTGAGCTTCACAAACTGCATTTGCAGCAGCCCTGTATTCTGCTTCAGTAGAAGATCTACTGATAACAGACTGTTTCTTGGATTTCCAAGAAATCAGTGATTCACCCAAGTAAAAACAATAGCCAAAAACACTTCTTCTAGTATCAATACAAGAGGCCCAATCAGAATCAGTGTAAGCCTGAATATGAAAGGAAGATTTAGAGGGTTAAAACAGACCTTTTCCTGGAGAGCTTTTGAGATATCTTAACACCCTATGTGCAACAGTCATATGAACATTAGTAAGACAAGAAAGAAACTGGCTAAGAGTTTGTACAAAATAAGCAATATCAGGTCTGGTGACAGTAAGATAAAGTAATCTTCCTATCAATGTTCTATAAGTTTTAGGATCAGTTAAAAGAGCACCATCATTTTTTTGAAAATTTTTGTTTAGAATCCATAGGAGTAGAAAAAGGTTTAGAAGTAAGATAACCAAAGTCAGATAGAATATCAAGGGTGTATTTTCTTCGATTTAAAACCAGACCAGTTTCAGATCTAGCAATCTCTATTCCTAAGATGTATTTTAGCTCACCAAGATCCTTAATGGTAAATTTGTGATTTGAGTAGGATTTGACTGAATTGATTTCATTCATATCATTTCCTGCAAGGATAAGATCATCAACATAAAGCAAGATCACAGTAAAGGAATTATTAGTAGCTTTAGTAAAAAGGAAAAAATAAGCTTGAGACTGTTTATAACCAATTTTTTTTAAAGATTCAGAAAGTTTAAAATATCATTGCCTAGAAGCTTGTTTTAAACCATAAAGGCTTTTAAGAAGTTTACAGACTCTATGATCATTATCAGCTAAGTAACCAGGAGGGAGTTGCATATAAATGTTTTCATTTAAATCTCCATGTAAAAAAGCATTATTTACATCTAATTGATGTAAATACCAATTTTTGGAACTAGCAACAGCTAAAAGGATTCTGACAGTAGTTAATTTGACAACTGAGGAAAAAGTATCAAAATAATCAAGGCCCTTTTCTTGAGTATAGCCTTTAGCCACTAATCTGGCTTTATACCTATCAAGAGAACCATCATATTTAAGTTTAGTTTTAAAAACCCACTTACAACCAATAGTATGATGATCTTTAGGAAGATCAACAAGAATCCAAGTTTTATTATCTTCAAGAGCTTTAATTTCAGTATTCATAGCATTTTTCCAATCAGAAGATTTAATAGCTTATTTATAAGTTTTGGGTTCAACAATTCTTGAAAGAGAAGTAGTAAAACAATGATGAGAAGAACTTAGTTTGTTGTAAGAAATATAATTTTGTATAGGATATCTAACAAAATTACATGAAGATTGAGAAGTATTAGGAATGATAGAAGTAGGCAAATTATATTCAAAGTCTTTTAAAATGAATAGGAATAGATCTTACTCTAGTAGATTTTCTTGGAGAACTGTTTTCAGTAGTATTGTGATCAGTCTGATCATTACCTGTCTGCATATTACTGGAAGAATCATTAGTAATTTTGAGAAAAAGTATTTAAGTAGTCAATAATAGAGTTATTATTTGGAGAATATAAGAGATCAGAATCAGTCTTATTATCATAATTCTTGGTTTTATAAGGAAAAATCATCTCATAGAACTTTACATTTCTAGAAATGAAAGTTTTATGAGTGTTTAAATCATATAATTTGTATCCTTTAGATCCTAAAGAATGGCCAATGAAAACACATTTATGTGCCCTAGAATCAAATTTTGTTCAGTTAGAACAAATAGTGGAAGCAAAGGCCAAGCAACCAAAAATCTTTAAATGAGTATAATCAGGAGGGTGATTATATAATAATTCATAAGGAGATTTATTTTGAAGAACTGAAGTAGGTAATCTGTTAATAATATGAACAGCATTAAGAATACATTCAGACCAAAACGATATAGGCAAACAGGATTGAAATAAAAGAGCTCTAGCAATCTGTAAAATATGTTGATGTTTTCTTTCAACCCTACCATTTTGTTGAGGAGTTTCAACACAAGATAATTGATGAAGAATACCATTTGAATGATAGAATTCAGGAAATAAAAATTCAGTACCATTATCAGTTCTAATGATTTTGATTTTCTTTTGAAATTGAATTTCAATGAACTTATAAAAATTTATCATATGAAATTTAACTTCAGATTTTGTCTTAAGTAAGAATACCCAAGTACATCTAGTATAATCATCAACAATGGTTAGGAAATATCTAAAACTAGTATAAGAAGTAACTTTATAAGGACCCCAAACATCCATATGAATTAAATCAAAAGCAGTAGAAGCATGAGAAGTACTAATATGAAAAAGAAGTCTTTTTTGTTTAGCAAAATGACATATATCACAAGGAAAGGAATGTTTTTCATTATTAGAGATATTACAATCAGATAAGAAAGAGAGTTTATTAATAGGGAAATGTCCTAATCTGAAGTGCCAAAAAGTAGTTGCAGAAACATCACGTTGAGAATGTTGACTGTTTGCAGAATGCACGGTAGGAGTATGTGTAATGGATGAAGCAGAATTAAAATTATATAAGCCTTTATGTAAATCAGCATAGCCAATCATTTTGTGAGTAAGGCGGTCTTGCAATATAGCATGTTTAGAAGTAAAGGAAACAGAAATATTATCATGAGAAGTTAAGGTAGATATAGACATAAGATTATAAGAGAAATTAGGAACATATAAGACATTATGTAGAGTAAGATAAGAATTCAATTTAATGTCACCAATTTTAGTTGCAGAAGTAAAATTACCAGTAGGTAGTTGTATGTTAATAAAAATATTTTTTGTTGGAGTAGTGTATAATGAAGCATCATAAACCATATGATCAGATGCTCCGGTATCTAGTATCCAATTAGAATTTTTAAAAGTATTGAAAGCAAAATGATTACCTACAAACTGATTATCATTTGGAGAAGCGGGAGAGGAAGCATTAGGAGCAACAATAACAATATTAGTAGAAACAGTCTTTGTTTGTTGAGTTTGCATGAATTGGAGGAACTTGTCATATAAAGTTAGATCAATGAAGTCAGTGGTAGCAGAAGCATGATTTGTTGAGATAGGTGTTGATTCAGTGTAGTTAGTCACCGTATGAGCTTGAGGATTTTTGTTTGAGTTAAATTGAGGTTTGAAACCAGGGGCAACTCTCTGTCCTTTAGGACCTTTCCACTTATCACGATAGCCAATGATTTGAAAACATTTTTCAGAGGAATGACCTTGGTAACCACAATGAGAACAAGTAACAGAACTCTTCTTCTTGAAATTTTTAACAAGAAAGGCAGTAGCATCATTACTGGTTTTGTCAGAATTAGAAGACTCAGAAAAAGGATTAACAAAAGATTGGAGACATCTTCGAGATTCTTCTTGTAAGAAGATAGAGTAGACATTTGATAGAATGCCTTTTTCAGTATTAAGAAGAATTTGACTGCGTAAATGAACATAAGAATCATTCAGACCAACAAGAAATTTTAGAATAGACTCTTTTTGGAGTAACTTCTGGTAAGTTTCAGAAATATTGCAAGTGCAACGACCACAAGTACAAGAAGGAATAGCTCTGAATTCAGAATATTCATCCCAAAGTTCTTTGAAGGAATTATAATAATCAGTAATATTTTGAGAACCTTGAGAAAGATTACCTAGAGATTTTTTGAGTTGAAAAAGTCTAGGTCCATCACTTTCACCATACCTAAGTTGAACTTCATCCCAAAGTTCCTTAGCATTGGTAAAGTAAAGAAAAGTATTGCGAATAGTAGGAGAAATAGAATAGAGTAACCAAGACAATAGAAAAGCGTTGATACGATACCAAGTAGAGTAGAGAGCATCGTCTGAGTTTGGTTGTTTGACATATCCGTCGAGGAAGCCCATTTTGTTCTTCACCGCCATAGCCATAGAATCTGACTTCTTCCAAGCACCAAAGTTTTCGCCTGTGAGAGTTTCGTGGATGATGTGCAGGCCAGCGTGATCGCTCAGATGAAGGTAATAAGGCGACGAAGGATCTTCGAGGGGATTTAGCGGTAGAGCCATGAAATCTAGGGTTTTTGTGAAGTAATCGATTAAGAGTGCAACCGATTGAAGCAGTAGAATCGATTATAGAAATCGATTGAGGAAGAAGAATCGAAAGAAAAATCAGTAAGGATCGATGCCTTAATCTGATACCATGTGAATTTCTGTATCTGTGGGATGAAGAATGCGGAAGCAGTAATCGAGAGCAGAGAGGATGAAGAAGATCAAAAAATGAATCAAAAGTATCCAGATTAGGGTTTTACAATTGTATTTATACTAAAGTGCTAAAAACTATTCTAATAGAAGATATAAGATCGGCTAATATACAAAGGCCCAATAAACAATAAAAAGATCCAGTTTAATATTCTTTAGAGGGGGGCACGACTGCAGCTAGAGGACCAAATATGCCGAGACTCATGCTCAGCCCTAAACATAATTAAACAAGCCCGACATGTTTCGACAATAGCCATCGTATGCTGTCCTGTTTCCACCCCTACTTGCGGCGGCAACGGACAACGGCTGTACAGAGGTGGAGAAGGGACGACCACACCGTGTCTGAAGGAGACGATTAAGCTGGTTATGTTTGAAAAACCGGACCGGGAAGCGACCGGCCACATGACTGGTCACGGGTGAACCCCGGCCCCGGTGAGTCAACCCGGTCAACGATTATATGTCCATATAATATTAATAAACATATAATTATATATAATTATATTTGTATTGTACATATATAATATATTTTGGCATGATTTTTATTCCTAAATAAATATATAAATATATTACATAGTTTTTCTTTTTACGATATTGAAATTGCAATTTTATTGGTTTAAAAAATGCATTAAAATTAAAAAAGAAATTGCTTTTTTTTTTGGAAAATACGCCCAATACCCGGGGTTTCAAGGGTTAACTGAGTTTTTTCGGTTTTATATCATTTCCGGGTTTTGAACTAACCGATCCGGGTTTTTGTCCGGGTCGCCGGGTTCCGGGTCGACCCGATCGGGTCGGGTCGGTTTTTTAAACATAGGATTAAGGGAGGCGAGCAGTTGCCTAGAGGAACTGGGAACCAAGGTTCAGCTTGTTAAGTTGATACTACGTACTATTCTTGGGAATTACTTCGTAAAAAATAAGTCTTATTTTTATCCTTTGAATGTACGTAGTTGATACTACGTACATTCGTTCTCTTTTAATTGTAACATTGGACTTTTTTCACTATTCACAGATTCTACTTTGACTATATTTTATTTATTGGTGTATTATAAATTATTTTTAAAAAAAATATTGTTAAATTCTTCACATTCTAAATTTTCAAAATCTGATTTTTTTTTAAATTTTTTACTAATAAGGAATGAAAAATATTATGTTTATGGCTGCAGTTTCACGGCCCATATATGGATCCAAGAAGAGATGGATCCACACAGAACTTGCAAATCAAAAAGTTTCATCACAAAGATAATGTTTATGGCTGCAGTTTCACGGCACATATATGGTTCAGATGGTGAACTAATATTTGATGGCAAGATAGGTATATTCCCTTTCATAACAAAAGAGGCAGCAAAGAGAGGAAGTAAGAATAGGCCTAAGGGAACTCTAGAGACAAAGGCAGTCACTTCCATCACCAAACAAGTCACAAGAGATTGTCTACTTTACAAGATTCTACCCGCAATCAAAGATAAATGGCCCGAAGGTGCAAGTAAGACCATTTTTATTCGGCAAGATAATGCTAAACCTCACATTAATCCGGAAGATCCAGAATTTGTGAATGCTGCCACCAGTGATGGGTGGGACATTCATCTTCTATTCCAGCCTCCTAACAGTCCAGATCTAAATATTTTAGATTTGGGTTTTTTTAGGTCTATCCAATCACTACAACAAGAATATAAAATGAAAACAGTGGATGATCTAATTAGTGCTGTGGAAAAAGCATTTGAAAACCTAGAAGCTGATAAGCTTAATGATGCTTGGACCACCCTACAATATTGCATGATTGAAATCATGAAGCATGAAGTCTGTAACAAGTATCGATTGCCACACATTGGAAAAGCAAAGCAAAGGAGGCAAGGAGAACTAATGCAAGAAGCCACAGTTACACAACAACTAATCCATCAGGTTGTAAGCTACCTCAACCAGACTATGATCACCGAAGGACACACCACAGAGGATAACAACTAGCTTTATGATCTATGACGGAGTTGTTTAAGCATAAACTGCCTCTATTTTTTACATTTTGAGGTTGTACAATCTTAAACAACATGCTTTTTTGTCTACCAATGATCTAAATGTAATTCTCTGAAACTATTCAGGTAGTATCAATATAAGATTATATTAAGCTTTTAAATTGTTTTACATAGTTCCATATAATTCAGAAAAGCACACTCCCAGAAAACAAAGCTCTTAAGGGACAGAATGCTCAAAAAACCAGAAATATTTAAGGAATATCTAAAAATGCGGATGTTTTTTGGGAATATTTTAAAAAATCAGAGATTTCAGAAAATCACATTCACACAAAACAAAGCTCCCATGGGACAGAATACTCAAAACATTAAAATATTTGTATGGAATATCTAAAAATCCAAAAAATTTTAGGGAACACCTAAAAATTCTGATGCTTTTAGGGAATATCAAAAAAATCCAGATAATTCAGAAAAACACATTCACAGAAAACAATATAGGGTTTTTTGGGTACCTTTCTTTTGGGGTAATATGAAGTTGGCTATAAATTCTTCAGTCCGCTTCTGGCTTTCTGGACTCTAACGAGGATAACAAGATATCAGAATCAAGCTTTGGTCTCCTGCTACCGCTCGAACAACAGCACAAGGGTCAACATCTGATTTGGTTTCTTCTTCGTCAACCTCTGAATCAGATACATAACCCAGACGGTCTTCTCTATCATCAGTGATCATCTTTTCACTCTTAAGAGGGGTTTGGGGGGTACCTTTCTTTTGGGGTAATATGAAGTTGGCTATAAATTCTTCAGTCCGCTTCTGGCTTTCTGGACTACAACGAGGATAACAAGATATCGGAGTCAAGCTTCGGTCTCCTGCTACAGCTCGAACACCAGCCCAATAATCAGCATCTGATGTGGTTTCATCTTCTTCAAGCTCGGAATCAGACACATAATTTAGACGGTCGTCTCCGTCGAACGACATCTGATTAGAAAATAAATTTGGATGATAAGGAAAGGAGTGGAGATTTTAAAGAACAAATGAGATCTTGAGGTCGGTTATGGAGAAATCCTGCGGAGCTATGGAGAAAATTAAATGGAAGAGTTGAGTGGGTAGAAATTAATGGAAGAGGTCGGTTCCCAAGATAAAGTGGTGGGGTAGTGTAGTGGATAGATGGGTTTATTTAATACGGAGTATTAAAACCATTAAGAGAAGTTATTAACATAAGGTAAAGCAGTCACTTTAGAGATAAAGTACGGAAAAAGTTTCCAAATATAGTATGGGACAATCATAGTGGGACGGACCGAAATGGTAAAACGGGACTATCATAGCGGGACGGAGGGAGTAAAAAATAAGTCATATTTTTATCCTTTGAATGTACGTAGTTGATACTACATACATTCGTTCTCTTTTAATTGTAACATTGGACTTTTTGCACTATTCACAGATTCTACTTTGACTATATTTTATTTATTGGTGTATTATAAATTATTTTTTAAAAAAATATTGTTAAATTCTTCACATTCTAAATTTTCAAAATCTGATTTTTTAAAAAAATTTTACTAATAAGGAATGAAAGATATTAATGGTCAAATTTGTGCGTTGACAAACGTGAAAAGTGGACTCTTGCAATTAACAAGGAATGGAGGAAGTATTTATGTCATTAACTTCAATTTTAAACTTCTTTTTTTGGAGAGCTTTTTCCCAAAATACTGTTAAATAAATAAATATTTCCGAAAATAGTGTTGGGTTAAAAGTATTTACCAAAATAATGGTGAGATAACGGAGTTGGCGGCCACTTGAAAGCCAAGACCAAAAAGAAGTTGAGTCATGGGCCCCACCATCTAATAAAATATCATGTTTTTTTAAAGTGGTATAACTTTTTTATTTGTACTTCGATGGTTATAAAACTTATATCAAAATTCATAATTTTTTATTATCTTTCATATGACACCAATATTGAATATATAAAAATTAATAAATAATTTGACACTTTAAAATATCTACTTTTTAAAGCGCTATATCTTTTTTTTGTACTCCGATATTGAATATATGCAACATTGATATCATATGGAAGAGAATAATGACTTAAGAATTTTAATTTTTTTATAATAATCGGATTACAAATAAAAAAGAGATAGCGCTTTAAAAATAGATATTTTTAAAGTATTATTATTTTTATATATTCAATATTGGTGTGATATAAAAAATAATAAAAAAATATGAATTTTGATATGTTTTTTATTACGATCGGAGTACAAATAAATAAAAGATACAACGCTTTAAAAAGTAGATATTTTAAAGTGTCAAATTATTTATTAATTTTCATATATTCAATATTGGTGTTATATGAAAGATCATAAAAAGTTATGAATTTTGATACAGAGTATATGTTTTATAACAATCGGAGTACAAATAAAAAAGTTATATCACTTTAAAAAAATATGATATTTTATTTGAAGGGGGCGCATGACTCAACTTCTCCTTGGTCTTGGCTTTCTTGGTCTTGGCTTTCTCTTTGATCTCATTTTCTTTAACTCTGATCGTATAACAATATTTTGGGAAATACTTTTAATACGATATTACTTTTCGAAATATTTATTTATTTAACGGTACTTTCGGAAAAAACTCTTTTTTGGAAAATGAAAAATAAAATTTTAAAGATACATGGTCCCAAATTCATACGCAGTAAAACAAGATACATCCCTGTAAAACACAAGCAGCTTGATTAAGGAAGGACGTGTCTCGCTAAAGCTTTAAAACCATGAAAAGATGCAATCTTGCTTGCTATCGCCCACTTTCAGCGCTGGCAGACCAAAAACAGTAAAGAGATTCCACGCAAAATCAGCAAAGGCTCAAATCTGAATTCGAACCGAGAGACAGAGAGAGATCCAAACACTCTCGACAATCAGAGGCTTATTCAGGTTTCATAATCGAATTCCAGTTTTAGGTTATATGTTTGTGGTAGCCTCAATATTTATGCAATTAGGATCAAATAAAGAACTCGGAATATGTAGACAATGATTGGGATTTCGAATATTGGTATACTGTATCTTGAAAATTGGAAAACTTAACAAATGTTTTCTAATGTAACAGCTGCTATTATTGTTATAGAGGGAAATAACACATTGCATGTTTAGCAAAATTCTATTTTTTGATATGTGTTCTGCCTGGTACTTTTTTTTGCGGTCTGATATTGACACCATGCAGAGCAGCTATTTCTTACCGGACTCCCTTTTTTTTACTGTGCTGTTGTTTGGTAGATCTTGCTCTATTTTTAATGTAAAAGTGTGCAGTGTCTTGTGTTCTAGAGAATATGAATGTAAGATCAGTTTCTCTGTTTCAACATATTTTGTAGATAGGAACGATCAAGGTATGTATGTCCCCCACTCGATTGAGTGCCTTGTATGGGAGTGGGAATGATAAATATAAAAATACAAACTTGCATATAAGGTTTTGACCTATTTTTTCTTATTAGGTTAACTTTTTAGGATGCAATTTCAAGTTTTAATATGATATTAGAACCCGTTAAGCTCAAAAGAGTGACCAGTCTCTGACTGAGAGTAAACAAAGAGCACATAGATTTGAAGACTGGTTTGCTCAAATGATCCATTATCTTAGAAAAACATGTTTTCTTGAACCGGAAAAATATAAAGCTACAGACTCAAGATTATTACTTTCTTCTCATATCTGGTGAACTTTGTGAGATAGAATCATAGAAACGAAGTCTTAATATTTGTATTGCACTTGTTTCCAACTCATTTTATAGGAAGATAGGATCAACATCCTATTAAATAGTCTTCTTATAGCTAAAAGGTAGGAAACTTGTTTAAGTTTCAATTCGTGAACTTGTTGTGATAGTTAAGCGCAAATTTCAATGATTAATGTTCTAAAAACTGAAACCTACCTTATTGGCGAAACAGACTACAATTTCTGTATATGGCACAACCCTGCACCTGTAATGACGATGAGCCTGAATGGATAAAAAAGGTGAAATCAGAAGGTGCCATTCCACATCTTGATCCTGAAAACTGTTCAAATGGTTGGGCATCTCCACATGGGGATGCTTTCATGGTAAGAGGCCCAGACTACTTTTCAAACAGAGTCAAAATCCCAGCGAGCGAATATCTTCTAAAACCTCTTGGTTTTGATTGGATCAAAGGTCCTTCAAAACTTTCCAATCTCATGTGTAATCCTGAACACTACATCAGGAAGGCTCTTCCGGAAGATTGCCCTTCAGGCGTGAGGCCCTTTGTTTGGGCTTTCAACTTACAAGTTCCTAGCAAGGATAACTACAGCGCCGTTGCATATTTTGTGGATATGGGGCCCACTATGGAGGGATCATTGATGGATCAGTTCTTGAGAGGAGACACTGCTTTTAAAAATACAAGGCTGAAATTGGTAGCGAATATTTCTAAAGGTCCTTGGATTGTTAAAAAAGCAGTTGGGGAGCAGGCTATTTGTGTCATTGGGCGGGTACTAACTTGCAATTATTGCACAGGAGACAATTTCATAGAAGTAGATATAGATATTGGATCCTCAGTGGTTGCAAATGCAATTGTTCATCTAGCATTCAACTACTTAACAAAGTTGACTGTTGACATAGCTTTTCTGATTGAGAGCCAAACTCAATCGGAACTTCCTGAACGAATTCTGGGAGCTGTGCGGTTCTCTGAGCTGGACCCCGCTTCAGCAAGGATAGTTGAAGTATCACCTGAGCAGAGCTTGGATAGGTCACAGTCGTCATTTTCTCGGCTATGGAAGTCACTTGGAAGCAGTTTTTCCTCAACTCACAAGGGTGCTCAAGATAGTGGGGCCGTCTCTGAAGCAGGGAAAAATGAAGGAATTGTAGACTAGTTGTAATTGTCCATTGGGCATATACAAATTCAATGATTAAAAAATGTGTATTCCCATTATAAGGCTGATGTTTTTTTATTCAAGCGTTGCAATGTTTCTCATACTACACTGTGCTGAATTGAATCTATTTTTAACAAATTAGTTTTGCTCATGGACAAACAATCAAACATTCATCTATGTTTCTTATAAAAGAATCTCGTTATCCTGCTGAAATGCTTCTCTCCTGTTCTTAGGCGGTGTAACTCTTTGAATGACAGTTACATCTAATGCTATGATCTTTGGCTTCTTTTCATGTTTCCTCAATTTCAGAAGCATTGGGATATGCTGATGTGGAATTTACTCACTGCTTCTTACATTTGATCCTGGTTTCAGCTTCAAAATGTATCTAGATTTCATGGAGTGTAGATATATGATGCTTTTTCTTATTTTATGTAATATTCACCATTGGCTATTGCCTAGGAGAGATAATGAGATATATTTGTATACTATGCCCCGCTCATTTTTACAGGCCACACTTTTCTATTATAGAAGTTTATTATCATTTTCCTCTAGTTGTAACCCTAATGGGGGTTTAGCCCATTTTGTATAGGAAACTTTAATGCTCGAAGTATAGCTACTTGTTTAGTATTTATATCAAGAACAAGAAGTACAACCATACTTTTCACATTATCAAAAGATATAAATACTTCAGTTTTATCTTCTTTTTCCTTTTTTTCACAATTTTTCACCTTTTTTGTGTCTACTCTTAATTTTCATGAAAACCCTGAGCGAGCGAAATTTGTCAAAGGGAGTTTGTAGTTTAGATTGCACAATGAAGTTATACATCATCTGCTTTTTAGTGTTAGATAATTTAATATCATGCCAGCTGATGCATTGATGCATAGCTTTAATACATTCATGTTCTGTAAGATGTGATTACCTTTTCATTTTCCAAATCAACTGAAGTGATGAATTTGGAAGTGATTTATAGGCCTGCCACTATTATTTGTATGCTGAATGAATTAGTCTATACAAGTTGTTTTTCTATTTTGAACTAAACCGCATTTCATATACCTAATCTTGTAATCGCAAAACAATGTCACATTCAAAAGATGAGTGAGGCAGAGATGCGCATGCTGCGTTGTATGTGTGGGCATACTAGGAAGGACCGCGTGAGGAATGAGACAATCAGACAAAGGGTGGGAGTAGCACCTATTGAAGACAAGATGCGGGAGTCGCGCCTACGGTGGTTTGGTCATGTGCGTAGAAGACCGAGTGATGCACCTTTCAGACGAGTTGAGATGTGTGGAGAAGAGGCAGAGAAGAGAGGGAGAGAAAGACCCAAACAGACGTGGGTTAGGGGAGTTCGAAGTGATATGCTTCTTTTGAGGTTGGATGAGGGCATGACTTTGAAGAGAGCTAAGTGGAGGGCGGGTATTCGTGTGGAGGAGTGATCTCGTATCATATTTTTCCCTCATCTTTTATTCCTTGTTTTTTATCCTTATATATATAAGCATTATTTGTATCCTTTTTATTTTATCATTTTTATGTATATTGATCTCTTTTCATATTATCTTTTTATAATAGCTTATCTTTTTTATCTTTATTTCCTTTCTTTTCCTTTTGGTGGTGATATCGTGTATCGATTCATGTTAGCCGACCCTAATATCTTTTGAGACTAAGGCTTGGATGTTGTTGTTGTTGTTGTTGTTGTTTCTAACGTGAAGAGATGAACTATTCTGCAAGGGAAATGATAGATACAGTGATATGGTAAGAGAATGGTTCAGGAAATAGTAAAACTTTCTTAAATTTGTCCCTAAATTAATAAGGGTAACATGATCTGAGAGTATTAACAATCATTGCCCGAACCATTCATTCTGTCAACCTATGTGTGGCGTGTGGCCCTATCCTTGTCGATTCTGCAATGAGATCTCCCATTTTTCTTGAAAATCTGAGATGATGCATGTAGTTAATATTCATCCAAAGAATAGCAAAGGCAGAGTGAGTACGAAGTAGATCGATGTGCCCATGGAGAGCATAACTGCAATTGAAGTGATTAGAGAGCATCCGAGGTAAACCACGACCGATGCCAATCCGTTCAATCCCTCAAGGTGACACACCAAGTAACACTGTACGAGAATACACAGAGGCCAACAGACCCTGATGCAAAGAATGCCTTCCACCACCACCACCACCACCACTTCCAATCCTCTGCTCAAAGGCGCAAATGAGCACATGCAGGAACCAACAAGAAGAGGACAATGTGTAGAAAACCTAATGCACTATAGTCACGCCAGAACCAGATGCTAGAGGATGAAAAAGAGCTCCATAAAGATGGTAGGGAAAACAATGCATCCATAAACAAGGAATATGGTTAGTGTTGACAGGATGTTTATGTTGGGGTATAACATGTAGGGGTGATAATCTAGTACTTGGATTGCTTAAGGATCGTGTAAGTTCACTTTCCGAATTGATATTTCTCCCCTATGCCTGGGTTACAAGAAATTCAATTTAGGATAATCAAGGACACTCTAGAACTTAGGCACAAGAACTAGAACCAAACTAGTCGAGTATATGGATTGTTATCTTTAATTTGAGTGCCAAAGTGATGAAGATATGTTGGATATGTTTCCCCCTGCTTCTCTGTACGAAATATGGTGATATATATCCATATTCACCGTCCTAGGCAGTTGCAACACGTTTAAGAATAACCACAACAGTTTTTTTGGGAAACTGCTGGAAACTGCCTAACCGTTCTAGAACTCGGTCTAGAACCACAGAGCTGGTCTACTGAAAGTTATACCTCGAGTTCCAATAACGTAGACACTTTGGAATTAAACTAGTTCTTATATACAAGTGTGCACTCCACACCTACTAACTTGTATTAGATCATAGTTCTAATTTCCATTGGCACTCATGTCATTTCCAATTACACAAAACGGCCGGTGACACTAAAATCACCAACGGTTTATAGGAAAATTGTCAAGAATCATATTCCTGACAAAGATTCTGGCCATTTATGATCACCCATGAGTATCTGGCCAAGATTCTCAGCACGGTTCATGATTCCTGACAAAGGCTTGCAATATGGCAGGCTGTAGTCGCTGAAGGGAAGAGGGACTTAGGTTGAGGTCAGAGATTTTTTTTTTGCGTTGTTATATTGTGTGTTTAGAGTTGGTGGCAGTTTGACTTTGGTCAATCAGCCTTCATCCTCATGGAACCTTAAGAAGGGGCAGACTTGTTCAAAGGGATCTAAGTTGGGATGGAGATTTGTTTAGTTTTTAAAATTATGACATTCATACTTTTTAAAATTACGTTTAGTTTGATCATGTTTAATCTTTGTTATTTTGATGAATTTACATCCTCTGCTCATTTGCTCTAAATCCTCAAATTAGTGGGGCTACTTCATACTCCCTCCGTCCCGAAATTAACTTTCCATTTTCTTTTTCAGACAGTCCCAAAATTAATTTTTCACTTCCTTATTTGGTAAATTATCTACATCAAAATAGTGCAAAACTATGTCAAACAGCGGTGTCAAAACGGTATCAAAATAGTAAAATTTACCACATAGTAAATTTGTTTCCTTAATATGTGTGAAATTCAAGTGGGAAGTTAATTTCGAGACGGAGGGAGTATTGTACTACTAGAACATGATTAAAGTTGAATCAAATTATTTCACAACCATTTTATCCTGATATATGGGGATGTCATATACTACTTCCATTTTTGTTCTCATATTATCTAAATATACGATTTTTTAGATAATATTCCCTCCGTTCCGTAAAGAAGTTCCTAGTTTGACCTACACACATATTTATGTAAGGTAGAGTTTTGTTTTGACTTTCTAAGTATACCCTTACTTTATGTCAAATCAAACAAAAAGTGGGTAAAAAGTAAGGGTAGTTGTGACTTTTTGGTTAAAAGTGATTTCCTTTTATAGAAATGAAACTTCTTTTTGGAACATCCATAAAAGGAAAGTGGGAGCTTCTTTGCGGGACGGAGGTAGTATTTAATAGGCTAATTCGAGTATATTTTGAAAAGAAATTTAGGTGGATATATAAATACAACATGATAATTGATTATAATTGTGATGTTGTGAGTGTATTATTTTTAATATATTATGATTAAGTTATCATTTAAAAGTGTTATTTATTTCCTAATAGAAACAATAACCCTGAAATGAGACATCTAAAAAAATAAGTGAGAATTATTATCCGAATGGAAGCGACTTGCACGATACTACTAATATGCTACAACCGCGTGTTTTGTAATAAGAATTTGTATAAGAGAAAATTCCTTAAATATGAGTAAAATATACCCCTAAGTTTTTGTTTTCAAATAGGTATACCCTTGTTTTCTACCCTAATATGAGTATGGCTCATGAGCTCTTGTTGATTTTTTTATTCTTTTATCAAGACTAAATAAGTTTTATTTGTGAAGACAATAAATTTATTCTTTTTTGAAACTTTGTGTATTATTATCATAGTCTTTATTTACATAAAAAAAACTTATTAATGATATTTTCGTATTCACCTAACTTTTTGTATAAAAAAATCGTTGAAAATAATACTTCAATCTTTACTATACTCACGTGCGAAGGCAGGCACATTTTAGGCTACCTCTATCCCAAATTTTCAAAATAGGGAAAAATGTTGTTGGGATATTGACCTAGAGGCCCAATACCCAGATCGGGAAGGCCCAAGGCATCCGGCCCAAGTAACAGGCCCATCACTCCATGATGAAAAGGTCCAGTAAGGAGACATACCGAACGAGGTTCGGCCCAAATAAAGGTTGACCCAATAAGAAAACATACCGAACGAGGTTCGGGCTATATATCATACTTGGGCCAATTTGACAGCATCTTCAGTACGGACCAACATCCCGTTCGAACAACGGCCAACCAGCAAGTGGCCAGGTGCAGTTAATGCCAGACTATGACATCAGCAAGTGGAAGCATGGATGACCAAGTCGGTGGAACAACGGCCAATCAGCAAGAGGCAGCCCATGCTCTCCATTAGTATAAATAGAAGGTTTCAAGTCATTGTAAGGGTTAGATTTTCGATACTCAAGCTCTAGAATATCATCATTTGCTCTTATTTCTTGTATTAAAGCATAGTTTCCGACTTACTGATCGGGAAATCTTTTGTAATCAGATTGGTTAATTAATACAAGTGGGTTTTCGAGTTCTAGTTAATTCAGATTTTATATTTTCTCACACACTTTGATTCTGA